ATATTCAGTTCTTGTGTGTAAATAAAGCTCTTGTTCCAGTCTGAGCGAGTTTGATCAATCTTTCCATTGTCATTTTGAAATATGACCATGAGATTCATCTTCCAACATGGTTGTTTGTGCTATAAAAGGCTACACATGGTGTCAGTTACAAAAAGATGTTTGTTGTCATACATATAATATGCTCATAAAGATGATTGGCAGAACTGTATTATCAAAAAACAGTATTAGCAAGTTCATTATAAAAGATCTCTATTTCAATCAGTGCTGTTCTTTTGAACATTTTTGTTGGTGATATCCATCAAAGAGTCCTAGAAGATAAACACTCTCACACTTCATTAAGCAGCACAAGCATTTGCCCAGAAAAATCAGCACATTAGAATCATTTCTGAAGGACCATTTGACACTGAAGACTGGGTTAATGCCTGTTAAAAATTCAGCTTTGCCAACAAAAATTCAAGAAAATAGAAATAGAAAACCATTCTGTCCAATTAAATTTTTCGGTCCCACTTTATATTAAGTGGCCTTAACTAATATGTACTTACGTCAAAAAAATAAATACAATGTACTTACTGTGTTTATAATGTATTTGAGAACACGTGTGGTGCTTTTGAGCTGGGATAGAGGTTGGGTTATGGATAGATTTAGTGGTATGGGTAGGTTTAAGGGTGTGTTGAGGTGTAAGGTATGGTCAACAGTGTATTTACAAATGTAATTACAAAAGTTAAGTACACAGTAAATACATGTATTTACACAATAAGTACAATGTAACAAACTATTAATTCCTGTGTAAGTACATAGTAGTTAAGGACACTTAATATAAAGTGGGACCAATTTTTCAATATTGCTGTCTTTGCCATCTAGGTTCAACTGATTGGCTGAAGAAATACTATTATTCTTCTCATTATTTTTTACCGAAAAGCTTAACCATATGTTACACTATAGATACAAGCAGAGGCGATTTTAGGATAATCTATATAGGGATATATATATATATATATATATATATATATATATATATATATATATATATAAGCCTAATAATACATTTATAAATAATAATTTAATAGTAATACATTTAAAAATGTTTGACTAATATGGTATGGTTGTATGCTAAACTAGCACTCTTTTGTATAGACAGGCAGAGCAGAGGCTGTTTACTATAGTACAGTGTATTAAATAAATATTTAATTAAATAAAAACTATTAACAATTTTTTTCTAGTATTAAATAAAAAAACTTCCACTTTTCCAGTTAAATGGCATAAATATAACCATTTTTGTTAAATCTACAGGCTAATTCACACATTTAACAATCTGAATCGTAATAATAATTTAGTTTTTTTTTTACAATTTAATAAAAGACAACGTGATGTTTTTTTGCTGATCAAATGGAAGACAAAATACGGGGAGGAGCCAAATATTGCCGCTGCTTTCGAATCAAACTTAAAGAGGACTGAAGTAATAATTTAGTGTATAGTTTATAAGCTAATCAAAAGCTCATAAGCCCAGGGGTACAAGTATTATGAATGTTTAAAATCATGGCATCAGTTGCATATGTACTTATAATAATGCCTGTTAGCCAAATCATTCATTCATTGATTGCTATCAGCTATTGCTAAGCAATTGCTCCCTCCCTTGTTTTCATTGCAAGCAGTGTTGCAAATTAATGCTCAGGGGAAATTGCTAAAGGCAGGACAATTTCTTCTTAAAGTTGCTAAATTACAATGTGATTACATAACCATGACACACAGCTTTGATAAAGATTGGTTAAAATGACTGGCCATCTTAGCAAAAAAAAGTTTTAAATATATATATATATATATATATATATATATATATATATATATATATATATATATATATATATATATATATATATATATATATATATATATATATATATATATATATATATATATATATATATATATATATATATATATATATATATATATATATATATATATATATATATATATATATATATATATATATATATAT